CCGCATTTTGCGCCTGTCTGAAGTCGAGCGGGCTGTCCGGGCTGGTGGCTGCATAACCTAGACCTACAAGAAGTCCTTCCGGGAGATCCAGATTCACGCTGGAGAGGTCCTTGTAGGTGGATTGCAACTGACTGGCAAACGAAGACGTGGCCTTGACCTTGTCCGGGCGGAACCAGTTACTCCCCAATGGCCTGTGGCCCACTGCGGTAGCCGCTTCTTCGAGATCACTAAGACCAAAGCCTTGACCGTGTCGGAGGAGCATGTGAAAGACACCTGGTACTTCATGTGGCATGTACCAGGTAGTGGGGGCTCGCAGCCCAATGGGAGCTTTGAGTAAGAGCGTGCGATGAGCTCTCTGTCCATCGGCTACTCCACCAGGGCTCTGTTTGGGATCACCAAGCAGCAGCCGAAAGAAGGGTTGTCGGGGAACCGCCGGCGCGAAGGCAGATTTGAGGTCCATGTCCTGCTGTGCTTCTTCACTAATGAGCAGCTCCACATTCTCCATATGCGTGTTGAGTGTGGAGTGAGTCTGACCTTTTTGGTCCCAGACAAGCCCAGTAGTGACAATGACGACATGGCAGCCGGGGATGTATGGAGCCGCGTCGCTTGCACGCAGGTCGTAGGCAGTGCAGGCCTTTCTGGAGGCGGGCATTGTCGCACTTGCCTTGCCGACAGACTTTCAACAGGATAGGCTCCACCGCCTGCGCAAGCCGCCAACAGCTGCAAACTGTTGATCCGTCCCAAACTGAGGATCACGGCATAAGAAGCCTTCCTCAAGGGTACCTCTCTACAGGAGGTTTCCACTCCTGCTTTACATGGCGTGATGCGCTTTTGCAGGTAGCACGCAATTTCGAGCAATATGCAAACAAAGAACACTGTTGACGTGTACATACATGACATTCCATGCGTTTGACTCTCTGCGTCAGGCACTGCGCTGCGTCAGTCACCTCTGGCGGCTGCCGTTTCCTGCCTATCTACCTGTGTGGCTCAGTCCCCGGGTCTGCTCCAGCTCATCCGGAGACAGTATCCTGGTCGATCTTCCAGCTTGGTTTTACGAAGAGAGATGCGTTGCAGGCTCTCGGATGACTGGAGCTGCATGTAGGCCTCCCGTGCTGCTTTCCGGATCTCATTCTTCCTCGACCATTGATCCTCCAGGGAAATAAGGGCCTGTCTCTCGGCAGTTTCATCTTCCTCATCCAATATCCCTTCTCCCAAGCGAGGGGCCACCCCGAAAAGCCACTGAGCGGGGGAGTAGCCATGACGGCGTCGGAGGTAGTTCTTGGCCTGTGAAACCGATGCCAGAACCCATTCGACCTCATGGTCCTTCATGGTGAATCCAGGAGGAGACTGTCTGTGGATGAGCTGGAGCAGACCCGGGGACTGAGCCACAGAGGTCGACAGCAAGGAACATGAACTGGAGTAAACCCCGAGACTGAGCCACAGAGGTTGACACCAAAGAACACAGCTCAGAAAAATCACGACACAAGGTCGTCCAAGTCATCCTTCCCAGCCAGCACACTCTTTCCCCTACGTCCGTGGCCTTTGCCGCGCGGGGCCTCTCAGCCCCAGCGCGCGCAGCTTTCGTCGAGAGCTACGGCGCAACCTTGGCACATGGACAGCGAACTGTCAGATGACGAGATCAGGAACAGAAAGAAATTGTATCTATGTCCGGCATCCAATGTCCGCACACGGGGCCACCGCTCCGATGGTTCTTCCCCATGCCATGACCTGTCAGCCAATCGCAGTCAGCAAAGAATCGACGGATAGAACCGAGACTCTCTGCATGCGGATAACTTTGACAGGCAAAAGGTTCATCCCCCGACCCAACACGAAAAGCGCAGCAAAGGCACATGGACTAGTAACGGCAAGCCAATCACGCTGCATATCGACGACAACATTTCATTTCAAATCACGCAAGCTACAGCACCCGCAAAGCACAGTCAGTGGCGCTTGACCTGACAGAAGCAAAGGAGATGCAAGGACCGATATAGATCTGAACTCGGGAGAATTATATCCACCCAACACAACCGTCGCCCCGCCTGGTCCACACATCCAAGTCCAGCGGTGCGCATGCATACAAAGCAAATCCTTCCCCAACCCCACCACCTGCGAGGACTGAGCCATCGCCATGTCAGGCTCGTAACACATCATCAACTTTGCAGCTTGCGCAAAGCATCGGCTAATGAAGTCGGAAGTTCTGCCGGTAGGCATGCGCTTTGAAACCCACTGTCTACATCCAGGACCAAGACTTGAAAATGCTGATGCGAAACGTTGTACAAGCATACATAAGCTGCAGGGTCTTCCACTGCTGCTGCGTAAGAATGTAAGCAGTTCGCTGGGAGATCTTCACCTGTCACTGGGGCGCTCACCGGTTCATTCCCCACGATACAGAAACATATTTTCAATTCTTTCGCTAAAACATCCACATCCCAGTGCGTGGCCCAATGCTTGTTACCAGCTTCACTGACATGGCGAGCAATCACACTCTGTAAGCTCTGCAAAACATCACTGCCATTCAAGATGCTGTGGCGCACCACACCAACCTCTTCTCCATGCTTGCATTGCAAAACTAAATGGCCTCTGGAATCTTCAGTGGTAGTGGTTACTTCGTTCACAGTTTGCATAAAAGCGAAACACGTTCCAGCAATGACCTGCGACATCTTCCACTGATCCAACCACGTACCAGCAAGTTCATCCATCAGGCAAGTGGTCAGAAAGTCCACGAAGCGCCGTGGCGACCACTGCAGAACGGCGCGGCCTATGATGTCCCGCAGTCGTTGAGCCAGGACTCGGCGCGAGGGTCTGTCCGCTAGCAGTGCTTGCAAGGTCGGTGGAAACGTCACGCACTGCTCGTGCCACAGCTGCAGACATACGGCCACCGACAAGAAAAAGCAATCGCCTCCTCCACCGGCATCTGCAGCGAAAGCCCGTAGGCGATGCTGTCGCAGTAAATACTGCTGAGCGACTTGTGAGAGAGAGTGCAACCGTAAATTGTGCGTCTCGCAAAACTGCTCACGATCCGGATGTGGTCTTCCCGGCCAGGGCCGTTTCGTGCTCCCCGAAGAAGTGGTCGCAGACCTAGCCGTCGCCCGCGACCAAGCATCCAGTTCGTACACAAAGGAGCCATCCGTGTCTTGGCGCAAAGGCCGCGGTAAGAGATCCGCGCGGGGAAAACCAGGTAAATGTTCCAACGCAGTTGCCACGGCCAGCGACGAGGACTGAGCCATCTCCTGCACGAGCAACCATGTCATGACATTCACACTGGTGTCACAACACATACTTACAACGGTGATGTTTTCTCCCGCCGATCACGCCTCCAAACGAGCCAGGAACTGTGCAATATAAGCCGGTGGTCCGTGTTCGAAGACACTGAAGTCGATGTCTTGACCGTCTTCTTGCGTTGGTAAATTGCGAAACAAGCAATGCTCCAAGCAGGTGGACCTACCGGTAATCATATAAACATGCTGTACGTATTCCTCCGGAGTGAAATAGTCTGGTTTCTTGAAGTCCACAGTATGCCCCATGTTCCGCACAGTCTTTCCCTGTTGATTATTGTAGGTGCCTGCAGTCCACGGCGCCAGGGGATATTGCACTCGGGAATGCCATATCTTTCCTGCGGATGTACTCCAATGGCAATGACTTCCGCAGGACATTCTTGCACCAGTTCAGGGGCCATCAGTTTCTTCGTGATTTTGACACGCAGGCCCACATGCAGAGGACAAAATGACATCAAATTGCAAGTTTTGGAGGCCATATTGGTAATTGCCAAGCACTCGTGCAAGATGCTTTTGTCAGCAAAAAACTCCTTCTGATGAACCAAATCCACGGCTTGCGCGTAATAGATGACCTGTCCTGGCTGAAACATGCAGGACGTCAGGGACTGAGCCACCGACTGCAAGCCTTGCCAAAACTTAGCATTGATGGAGCGTCCCAACGCCGGAGGAAAATGTCGATGAATCCGCACGGCCTTGCCAGCCGCAGTGTTTCGCCATGCGCTGACTCCAAAACTGCTTTTGGCGGACTCATAGACAGTGATTTGTTGCAAGCGTGCCACCTGATCCCAGTTGATTGCCGAAAACATGCCATTGGCAAAGAAGCCCCTAGGACCCACTTGACGTCCATCTGCGTCTCGCATCACGAAATCACTGTCCAGACGAGGATCCCCAGCCAAAGGTCGAAAGACTTGCTTACGAATGGCGTCTTTCAACTCTTCCCGCAAAGGATTGTGACCCTCCTTACGCATGTTGCTGAGGATCTCTGCCAACGGATCTCCCGCCTTGAACCGATGGCCCCCCCGAAACAGAATTGTTTGCGGCAAAAATTGACCAAAGATCTGCAAGCCCAACCGGTCGATGTCCTGCTCGCGTTGCCGGGTCTGTGCCTCCATCTTTTCATACGTTGGAGCACGAGGAACTTCGACGCCGAAGATTTCCATCAAGGAATGATTCAACACTGGATTCAATTGCAAAAAATCACCTGCAACGATTTGGCACAAGACATTTCCCAACGTCTCCACATGATCACTTGCTGACCTTTGCCCACCGCTGGCACGTGCCGTTTTCCTTTTCTTACCCCTTTCACACACTGAACCACTAGGCTTGGAGTTCTGCAGAGTGTGTCTGCCCCACTGGGCTGCATCGCTCAAGACAGCCAACAACGCAGGCGGGGTCAGAGAGATTTCGTCCACGAAGACCAAACCCACATGCAGCCAGCGACGCTGTAACGCCTCCAGTCTGGCGCGCGATGGTTTCTGTAGACTCAAGTCCTGCGAGCGGGTCAAGGCCGACATGTAGTGAAGCGTGGCTCCAGCAATGAGGCGCGCGGCCGAATTTTGCGCCGCCACCCCTTTGGACGCACGGGGTAGAAAATGTTCGTAGACTGGCAATATCACACGCGTCAGCATGTAGGTCTTCCCAGAGCCACCAGGTCCACGTAAGAAAATTCGCGAAATCATGTCCTGGATACGGGATTTCTTCTAACTAGAAAAGGACTTCGAAACATCACTTCGAAACATAACATAGTACGTAAAGGCACAGCCAAGTTGCTGGTGTGACCAAAGACAAGACCTCGTGAATGCGATGTGGGGTCCCAAAGCAGTGTTGCAGGTTCTGTTCCCCAGCTTTAACCCACAATTTCTGCAGCGGTGCAACAGCCAACACGCACGCGCTGTACTGATCTTTGGAAATTTCGTACGCGCCATCGAGCTGGCGCATCGGAAGTCGTTGCTGGAGTAACTGCGTGGCCATCTCGGCCGGAGACACCGTAGCGACCCAAGCCTCCGGAGCCAGATCGACGGGTACTGCCACTACACCAGAGGTCCCAGGCAACATTTCGTCTTCAGACACGTCCATCAACTGCTCCTCCTTCTCTTTCCTGCTGTCTTGCAAAAGCTTCTGCGTCTTGAAGCCAGACACCACATCGAAGCCACCTCCACGCTTCACGTCTGCCGCACTCGGCATAGCACACATCCGAGATTCTTTCATGTCCAGATATTTTCCTCCATATTGGTGCAAAAATTCTCTGGACCGCTTTGTGCTAGCGCTCGTACGACCAGCAGCGGTCGTCTTCGTATCCTGACGATGGACCACATCAAAGAGATCGGCCGCGGACACATGCAGAATGGGCTTATATTGCAGTTCCGGGCGAAGTGCTGACGGTTCCGCTGCCTCGTCAGGGTCTGGGTCGTGAACATCGTCCAAGTCTGCGGCATCGACAAATTCTCCCTCCAGGCCAATGTCCTCCTTCTCATCGCGCGCAGTAGGGTGAAGCAGTCCTGGACGAGGTCTTCTGCGCGCCTCTGCCATGTAATCCAAGTTCGCAGAAATTTCACGGGAAACCACAGCAGTGTATTCAGCGCTGGTCAGTTGATCATCGTGCCAGCCATACGAACACCTCTTGGCCGACGTCAAGGTTGGATTCCCTGCTTGGCATGCCTGCAAGTGCTCTTTGTCGTTTCCAATGCATACAGCTTCCCCATCATCCGTTTGCAAGGTTCCAGTAAAGTCTAAGATGCACGCCACAACTCTCTCAGAAAAACGCGGAATCTCTGCACATGTAGTAATGGAGGGACTGACCCGCTGCTTCTGTCTCATGCGACGACCGGGGACTGAGCCACTGCTGACATGCACCGCGGTCATCGTGCGCGTCTTGGGACGTCTCTCCCCCAGAAAACAATCCAGCACAAAAGTCATGACATCGCATCGCTCCATGCTGCCCGGTACTCGATACTGTCGTAAAGCCGTCACGTCAACCACCTGACACAGACAAGACAAGAACAAACTAAATACCTTTACCCAACGGCTGCGTACTCTACATGACACAGGTGATACTCTCCTAGATCCTGGAACAAGTCTCCCTTTCGTTCCTAGACTGGTCCGGGCGAGACACAGTCGCGCATCTTCGACCACGCCGAAGCTTCACCTCGACATCATATGCAATTCAGAGCAAGCATCAGGATTCTTCAACGCTATCGTTGTCAAGTCACTTTCAATGCTTCCATGACTGTTCACCATCTAACTTCAAAACCAAGGCGCATCTGCCCGGTCTGCCAAACATTGAATGCGGGCTTCAGTGGCTTTCCATGTAGCCAGCACGCCAGTGCGATCCACAGCCGCGCGAACATCCATTCCAGGCGCGACAACACGATGGTGCCTGTGTCTTGGGAAGACATGTATGTGCTTCACAGCCGTGGACTTGCCACATTCTTTGGCGCATTGGCACGCGTGCTGTTGCAGGAGTGCGACGTGTACAGCCGCATGCATCTCCGGGTCCTTTTGCTTGGTCGGCATAGATATGCCATGTAGGTACGGAATGCGCGCCGCAGCATGGAGAACTTGTACATGCGTCTTCGCTCTCACGTAGTGAGCCTCGAAATCGAACTCGCCATGCTCAAACTTGCCACCTTCTTGCACCGGTACAGCGCTCACATGCATGGCGTAGACATACAAGTTCATCGAGGCCAGGGGTTCCACGACGCCTCGATGCAAGTAATCTTCATAGAACGAGGTTGCACGTGCGTCGGTGCGTTCCCCAGTGCTCGCAGTGACCAGATCAATGTCTGTCAGCGGCAGCGCACTTTCCGCTTCCACGGCCACATCCACTGCGGTGGTGTTTCTTCGCATTTCTTCAAAAATGCCCCAGAGCACTCGCTTCAACATAATGCGCCAAAAAATATGCGTCCGCAACACTTCTCGTCCAGTCAACAATTGTAGAGACATTAGGCAGAAGCCATGCATCACCGCATGGTTGGCAGACGTCCACAAGCGACACAACCTGCGCCGAGCTTCTTTTTGTTCCGGGGTCAGACCGCGACCTTCGTGCGCTGCAGGCAGGGGGTAATTCATCTGCAAGCGCCGTGCCTCTTCTTGTTGTGCTTCCGCTTGCATGCGCTCTTCCAGTGCGCGCATCCCGTGAGTCAGGTGTCTCAGAACCGGTCCACAGGTCAATGCCGGCTTGGTCGTATAGTCGCACGTGTAGAAGCTGGTTTGGATGCCTGTCCGGATCCCCTCCACCACGCACTCCTTCACGTAGTGATGCAGCGTTCGTTGTTCTACTGTCAAGAAGCGATCACCAACTCTGCTCGCATCCGCCGCACCAGTGCGTTCATATTCCAATCTATCCAAGCTTGAGCATGCCATGGACATCGCACGACACATGGCACCCATCAAGTATTTGGTCAAAAATTCACTGGCTCTTCGATGCGTACGGTCGCTTTCTTCCAAAGTCCCTGACCAAACAAAACTCAATGTTCTCCACCATTCTGCTGTCAAGATGAAAGCTGAGGTAATCTTCACTCGAAACCGCACATGCTCCTTCTTGTCCTTCATGTCCGAGCCCATCACCGTGCAAGTATCTGCCAAGAAACCGAGCAAAGCGTTGCCACGACTTCCGAAAGGGACTGAGCCTCCGGTTGTCGATGACACATCCGGGACTGAGCCACCGATGTCCGACGATGCAACCGTCCCACCGGGGACTGAGCCTCCAGGCGCAGCAGATTCTGCCTGTGCTGCGGTATTCATGTCAGACGATGCAGCCACAACAAGTCCAGGCATCCTAGACGACCCCATGTCCCCCATGTCCTCACACGGCTGCAAGACCTCGCGAAGTAACTCAATGTCACTCTCTTCAAACCCCGCCGTCAAAGTTCGCCGACAATCTTGGTAGTTCAAGTTCCCACGATGAGCCACCATAGCAGCCTCACAACTGTCGCTTCGTGACTACTCAGGGCATTTCGTCACAGTTATTGCAAACAAAGGCCTGATATGAAACTGTTAGTATTGCGACCAAAGGCACAGGCATGCATTGACCTTCTCTCGGATTGTATTGAACAGTCTTGATGCGCCCATATTGCGTGCCATCTGGATTCGACTCCACCGTGGCTCCCAACGAAGAGCGACCAGCAAAATGCCGACCATCCAAACACACTGCCGCACCCTTGATAGACTCCAAACTGATGCGACAACCTTCCCTCGGCCACACAGGTAGTAACGGTTCTTTCCCCGTGCGAGCAACTACGACTTCAACCACCTTGACAGATCGATCTTCAAGCACTTTCTCTTGCGACAACTTCACGAAATGAGTAAAGTGAAATCGACAGTGCTGCGGTTTTCTTCTGCTTCCTTCAGGAGCATATTTAAAGCGTGTGTTTTTGTGTTCGTGTAAATGTCCTGACAACGCACAAACTTCATGCAAATCTTCACAGAACGACTTTATGTAGTCTCGCCGCTTGTCTTCCACGCCCTGCACTCCCCTACCACCAGACTCAAGTTTGGCCATCTCATCCCTCGCTTTCGTGCACAGAGCGCACGAACACCCTGAGTATCCACAGGCCGGTAGACGATAGTGCGGTAAACGGGCCATGACACAACCGGTCAAAGGCAGGTGCTTCACATTCACCTTTTGCTTCGTCTCCTCGAAGGACGTCGCTGTTGCTCCAGACGCGTGCTTTGTCACATGGCGATCGACAACCGGTGGAACTACAGCTACGAGAGTCCTTTTCTTCTCCGGGTCTTTCACATCTGTCTCACTTCCACCATCAAAGCGATCCTCTTCCTGCCATTTGGAACTATACGGCTGAGGTCTCAAGTCAATGTCCGCAGCAAAAGGAACTGGTTCGAAATGTAAGCGAGCCGTGCCCGCGCAAGACGACATGATGCTTTCCACCGCCAGTACGGTCTTCTCCTGCCACGTCCGCAACAAACGCTTGGCTTCTGCGGTTTCGGCCAGCAAGACACGGCGAAGCCAGGCTTGGGAGGTGCGGTGCAACACGATATGCGGGTGGCAAGCGAGCCTCGCTTGTTCTTCGATCGGACCGTGCAACTGCTGAATGGCGGGGAAGCAACCACCGAAGAATTCCCCAGCTGCCCCGCAGGGCGCTCGCCCGGCTTCCGTTGGCTTGGAGCTGCTCATCAAAAGGCATTACGCCCAGCACATGCTCCAGGAAGAGCCGCATGCTGATGATGAAGAAGCGGGCCTGCGCCACGGGATTCTCAGCGAGAATCTCCAGCATCCTTGCTGCGTTCGGCATGCTCGGTTCTTCTTCCAGTAAGTTTACGACAAACTTTTCAGACTCACCTTCCGGTGTCAACCCACCGTCCGTAGCAGAGACACACCCATTGTGCAGCATCACCACAAGCGGATTTCGCACATCTGCCACATTCGGCGTCAAGAAGCCATCCACCGCACCGTACCTTACTGTTCACCCCCGCGCATACATAGAAAAAGTCTTGAACAAAAGAAAACCAATAAAACCGGGCGTTTGGCTGCCTTCAAGACACATCAGCATGGCCCCGTTTTGCTCATGCCGCAGCTGCTGTCGTGCCCCATCAGTGCCCACTACTTCTGCCGAAAAGAACAAAAGCTGAGAAATGGCATCCCGGATGCGACTATCCGAAGCAGCAGAGCGCATGATGTCACCGATCGTCGCATGGTCTCCCAATTGTCGCAGAGCGCTTGCAAGCTTCGCCGACGTGCAATCCAAAACCACCCGCAAAGAATCTTTGAATTTCTTTCTTTTAACATGAGCCGAAGCCAAACGAACCATCTCCATGCGCTTCCAAGAGTCAGACACCACTGCCAAAAAATTCAAACCTGCTTGCCAACGAAGAATGTTCGGTGGCTGAAACCCACCCATGGAGCCACTCCCTTCGGCGTCACCAGGAACCGAACCGGTCTGCTCGAAGAAGCGGCAGGGACTGAGCCGCTGGTTGATGCCGCTGCAGGGACCGAGCCACTGGCTGCCGTCTCATACTCCAACTCCACACGCTCCAACAAATATGCCGCCCATTCTCTGAAAGTCAAGGCCGTGTCCCTAGACAAACCATAGACGCCATCCCCGTATGGAAATAACTCCGGGAAACACTTTTAAAGTCTGTTCATAGCATCTGGCTTTTAAATCTTTGCATCTGGCCTTTGAAAACTTATGTAACTTTAGGCATTTCAAAAGTGTCAAATTTTTTTTTTGCAGTAAGTTTTTGTTATGGATTTGATCAGAACATGCCCTGCTCTATGGGAACAACGAATTGATTCTCAGTCTCGCAGCTATTGGGGCTTTAGTAGCAGCATGTGTAAGTCTGCCATGGAGAACGTTGCAGAAGCGTCTCCTCCGCCCGGCGGCCCAGCGCCCAACCCTGCGGATCCTCCGAGCCCGACTTCTCCAGCTGAGCCGGCAGGCGATGCTGCTGCTCCAGTAGAAGCAGACGAAGACAACAAGACCGTGTTTTCTGAGCAGACCTGCTTGGAGGAAGAGTCTTTGGGTGATGTGACAGAGGGCAGCACGGACCTGGAAGCAGCAGGGCTAGACCTTGACAAGCTCAATGCCGGTGGTTCAAGTGCAGCTGCTGCTGGCTCTGGTGCTGTAGCAGCTGGGCCTGGTGTTACTTCCAGTGGTTCTACAGTCGCAGCAGGTCTCAGTGCGCCAGCATCTGACGCGGCTGGCTCCAGTCCTATGACTTCTAGGCCTGGCTCTGCTGTTGCAGAAGCAGCAAGAGGGTCGGCTGGGGACCCTCCGGCAAATGTGGCATTGGGCGCAACAGCAACTACAGCAGATCCAGGTCCTACCACTGCAGCCAGCATGGCCTTGGATGGTTACGACAGCAAACGTGACTACCAAAGGAAGGTTCGCAACAAGTAAGGAGGACGTCAGAAGCGATCAGGTGGTTGGGACTGGTGTCCGCGAAATTGGCATCGTGGTGGACCAGGAGGCCCTGATGGACCAAGTGGTTCTGGTGGGCCTGGACCGTCGGCTGGAAGCTCCTCGTCCACGATTGTCGCTTGAAAAAGGTGCGTTTGCGAATTGGCTGGGTTGGGAGGTTCTGGAAAGGGTTAAGTGGCGCTGCGGCTCTTTGGGCCGCCCTTTTTCACCCCATGGCAGCGGCTCACTGGGCCGCCATTGCGTCTGTTTGCGGCCTGCGGCTCTTTGGGCCGCTGGGCGTTGCGGCTCACAGGGCCGCCGCTTCTCTGGGTCAGCGGCTCTCTGGGCCGCTGTTTGGCAGCGGCTCTAAGGCCGCTGCATCGCGGCTCTCTGGGCCGAGGTTTGGCAGCGGCTCTATGGCCCGCTGCGGCAGCGGCCCATAGGCCGCTGCATCGCGGCTCTATGGGCCGCTGCATCGCGGCTCTCTGGGCCGCTGTTTGGCAGCGGCTCTATGGGCCGCTGCATCGCGGCTCTCAGGGCCGCTCATTGATTAGATGGCGGCTCCCTTGGCCGCTGTTACATTATAGTCTCTTTGCGGCCTGCGGCTCTTTGGGCCGCTATACACTGCGGCTCACTGGGCCGCTGTAAATGAACGGCGGCTCTCAGGGTCGCTAGCGGCTGTTTGGGCCGCTGATATGGGCGCGGCTCTTGGGGCCGCTGCCTGCTTGCGGCTCTTGGGGCCGCTTGCTGCAGCTTCGTTGGGCTCTGGGTCGACTGCGCGGCTCGCTGGGCCGCTGGCGGCCATGGGCTGCGAGATTGTCCGGGCCTTATTCTCGTCACCTCCTTATTCGCTCACTTCACTAAGTCTTTGTTGCCGCTGCTGCCATTATCTTCAGTCCAACCAACGAACAATAAACAGAAGGCAAACATTTTTTAAAAACAAGTTGTCAATGGTCAAGCTTCGAACCACTAAGTAATTATTGTAAATAAACACAAGTAACAATATATGATATCAGCTCCTCTGACAGATTCTGTCAGTTTGCCTTGCGGCATGGCTGATGAGTCAGAAGTGGTTGGGCTGCCTCCGGATGTGGAAAGTTCGGCATCAGAAAAGGAGGAGTCAGATGTAGAGCTCCCGGAAAGCATGCTTGCAGCCGACTGTTGCAAGAAAAAATGCATTGATGCGGTGAGGGCTTCCCCGTTCTTGTGCCAATGTCAATCCAGGCTGCAAGCGAGTGTGGATCGCCTGGATCTTCCGGGCAGGAATACCCTTTGGTTCAACCAAATGCAGTCGATGCACTCACATGGAACTCGAACTTTGTCTTGGCATGGGATTAGCTTGCGCCATGCAGCCTACAGCATGGTGAGCCTATGCCCTAAGAAGAAGATCAGCAAGTTTTTGAAGGCCATTTCCCTTGGCGCAGTGCGAGCTCCGGTGGATGGTCGCTCCTTGAACATTGCCAAACCGAAGCCCAAAAGGGATGACTGCAATGTGTTCTTCTCATTTCTCTATGAGAATTTGTCTGAACCTCTGGCCTTGGCCCGAGACCAAGTAGAGGACGAAGAGGTGGCAGAAGAGGAAAGCTACAATGTTGAGCGCATTGAGGCCCCACAATGGCTCTTGGAACAAGATTTTCTGGAAGTGCCAATAGAACTTGGCCATGTCGCTGCAGGCAGTGCTGACAAGCGTCTAGTGGAGAAGCGGTGGTTGCCGACAATGAGCCTCGCTGAAATTTATGACCTGTACAAGGACATGCGTTGCGACCATGCTGAGTTGTCATCCTGGAGCTCTTTTTCCAGGGCATGGAAAGACTGGCAGCAAATCATTGCCATTCGCCCTGCTCAAGTTCATGCTCGCTGTGATGACTGCGCCAAATACGCAAAGTACCGGCAGCTGCATTGCGACAATGAAGCTGATTTGAAGGCTGTGACGAACGCCTACAACAAGCACATCAAGGAAGTCTTTGCCGACAGGCATGTCATGACTCTGCTGGAAAACAAAGTCGAGCAAAGCATGAAGCAGGGAGAGCAAGAACTACCGCATTTGGTTTTGGTGATTGATGGGATGGACAAGAGCAAGTGGTTATTACCAAAACTCGTTGAGAACACCAAGAGAATGTCCATGCTTCGGCGGCCATCTTTGCATCTTGTTGGCGTGATGATCCCTGGAGTTCTGGAATTCATGGCGATTCTTGAGCCAGATGTGAAGGGCGATTCAGATTGTCAACAGACATTGATCTGCAGAGCTATTCAACTTGCAGAGGAGCAACTTTTGCGCAGCGGTCGGTCTTTGCCAGGAAGACTTGTCATTCAGTTTGACAATACGAGCAAAGAGGGTAGAAACAGTCAAATGCTCCTTTGGTCATCGATGATGATCAAAATGAAAAGGTTCACAGACATCGCATTTGGACTGATGCGTGTAGGACACACGCACAACCGCTTGGATCAGCGGTTCGGTGTGATTTCCGCCCTTCTTCGTCGTGCGTCTTGCTTGGAAACGGCTGAGGACTATCAAGCCTACATCCTTGAGCATTACAAGCCTGCTCGAGGTCTGCCATTGATCTGTGAGGTCATCACGGCGTGCCATTGTTGGCGGGATCTCATGGCCCCCTTGGAGACGGCCTTCACTGGAATCACCGGAAGCAAGACTACTGCAGACGCAGCCCATGTGATGCGAGTGGTGGCCAGGAAGGACGTTGCTCATTGCGTGCCAGGGTGTGTTGCTGAAGAGGGCGATGATTTCGATCCTGTTTTGTTGGCCAAGCACTGGTTGTGTTCAAAGGTGTTGTCACAGCCACCGACTGTGCAGTTAGAAGGGAAAGCGAAGGTAGATTTGTCTTTGCTTCGCACCATGCCGGCCCCGCGCGCATGGCTCACAGATGAGTCGCTCAAGAAGTATGCGAAGACAGCAGAGGAGGTGTTGCAAAAGCCTTGGCAGTTGCATGCCGCTTTCTCTTACTTTCAGGATTGGTTGCGCAGAAACGGAGAACAGATACCTGGTAAGCTCCCGGACATCGAATGCATCATCAATGGCAGGGACTTTTTGGAGCCTACCGGTCCTGAGGTGACTGCAACTTGGAAAGACTTTGCTCCAGAAGGAGCGCTGGCCATTCGAGAAGTGCGTGCAAGACCCAAGACTTATGGCCCGAAGAGACCGCCCAAGACCGATGCTGCTGCTTCTGCTGCTGTGGCACCATAGCAATCGTACTTCGTCCTGTCTTATGTGTAAGTATGTTTGTTCTTTGCCCAGTAGCTTGTATAAGCGTTTGAGTGGAGACAATTTTTTAAAGTGACAAGAGTGAGTTCTCCACCAGCTCCAAACTACTGCACGACAATGCTGCGAGAGAACAACATTGGCAAGTCTAGTTTCTTGCGCGAGCGAAATTTTTCGTTTAAGAGCAAGTAGAGATGCTTGCCTTGCAGCTGCCTGTAGACTTTCCGATGCAACTGTTGGGTCAAGAAAAACTTGAGTCGGTATTGTATGATGTTTCTCAGTCTGTGGATGTGGTCGAAGGCACGGCTTCATCTTTAGCCTGAGCATCAAGGCTTTGTGGTGACAGGTACCAATGCGATACCTGCCATATATGCGAGCGAAAAGTTGTGTTGTATCCAGGAAAAGGCTAGGCACTAAGAATCGATCTAGTGCGGATTCTTGGTCTTGGTATTTATAGGTAGGAAGTGCAGGATCAACATCTGTGAGCCCAGCCTGCACCAGGAAGTCATCCCACGTATGAAAGTGATTCTGATCACAGCGATTAAAGTCACCTCCAACAAAGACCGGATAATCAGTCAGAGCAAGAACGGTTTGCAAAGTGGTTGAGACGAAGGGCTTAGGGCTGTTCGGAGGGATGTAGACCGAAACAAGCCATATAGTACAAGCTTGGTATTCGACACGAGCTGCAACAGCATAGTGCTGCACCAAGACGCGTTCTTCCAATACTTTCCAACCTGGAGGAAACAGGATTGCAACTCCAGCCTGCTCTCCCGGATTTTGCTTGGCCAAATTGGTTACAAACTTAATGTCTGGCCACGTGTGGGATAAGTATTGGAGATTAGCCTGATTCCACTTTGTTTCCTGTAGCAGTACTGGTGCCTGTTTCAGCATAGTTTTGACTATCCAAGTCTTGTGCACGTTGGTGGGAAGTCCTGGAGACCAGCTATTGAGATTCCAAGTGTAAATGCCTTTTACAGAGACTGGCAGGTTGCTAGGCCTTTGCATACGAAATTGTAGCACGTTATGGCAGAGCTGCCAGAATTTCAATGGGATTTGGCGTAAGGATTGAACTTCGTTAGGGAGAACAAGAGGGATATTACCTGCAAGTGTAGACGGGTCTGCAACGACACAATCTGTGAACTTGCCGATGTTGACTCGTAGAGAATGGAGGGCATCTGATAGATTGACATTGCCATCAAAACCACACAGCATGAGGAAATCCTCAATCTTGATCTGTCGGTACGGTAGGGAGGGATGGATAAAATGTATGAGGAAATGGAGGGAAGAGACGTGCGTAATAGAAGCATTTGTTTGTTTTGTAGTATGCCAGTATGCTGCTTTGAGGCCTGTAGATAGGGTACGCTGCACTAAACGGAGAGATTTAATGGGTAGGTAACATAAATGCATCATTCAGCGTGTATAAGAGCCTTAGCTCTATGAAAGAGCTTTGCTGAAATCTCTCCTTGTGTGCACGCGTACCAAACCGAATTCAGCGTCATGAGACGACAATCGTCGATGCAAGCCTCAGTAGGAATATGGGTAGCAGCTTGTTCTGTTGCAATGGTCGTAGGAAGCACTGGGTGCGGAGTATGTGTGGTAGGAATAAGGGAAAGCAGCCGTTCGCAACTGCTGGCTTCAGATGCTTCGACTTGATGGATAATCAGTAGACAGAAATTAGGCAATTTATCTGTTTGCCAGATGTTTTCTTGGAGTCGTGGGTAGGCTGCTCGAGCACTTTCAGGACAGATGCTAAGGCACCAATCCTGGAGGAGTCCCCCAATAAGAATGACAGGGAAGCTCCCTGTCATGAGATGACAAACATTTGCAAAAGGCTCTTTGCATACTTGCTTCTCTGCTGCTAGCAGCAGGTGGGAAAGCCTCCACAATGCACATGCTCAACTAAACTATGTGCCCACGGCTTTTCGGTAATAGCGCATATGCGTTCTTGTTGGATAGCAAAAGCACATATATGTTCCGTTCCAGCTCCCTGGGGGTTGGTTTGAAAACCAAACATGGACCGATACCAGGAGGACGGCTGAGAGGGCTGACAAATGCTACCACAACGAACAATCACCTACATCCAACCCACACAACCCTGGAAAATCAGGGATTCCACCAGCGCCGGTAGCCAGCGCTTGGCTCTTTCTGGCTTAGCTTCCCGACTCCAGGCTATTTACACTTACACCTTTCCACCCAACACCGCAGAGGCAGCGGCTGAAGAGCTTATCCGGCTGTATGTCCAAAAAGGGCATGACCAAACTGTGCGCCGGCGATTTTTGAGAAGAACAGAAGCCACCGTCCTTTCATGCACTTGCGCCGACTTCGGCCACTTGTGTGTGTCAAACCCTGTTCCAAAGGGTCCTGCACTTTTGTTTCTGATACCACTACAGGGGGCCAGCGGCCGACAAGCAAACGCTGGCTAACAAAGCTATGCTTGTTCGGTGGACGCACAGTCTGATCAACTGTGTGTACCTGCGACCAACCTTTGCACAAGCTGTCACTCCACTTTCCTCGGTTTGATTCATGGTTCTTACATGCTACCTTCCCCCAAACCCTGGGTTTCTGCGGCTGCACCGCGCCGCTCGTTTCGTCACCGCTGAGTTCTGCAGACACGAGAAACAACTTTTGTTCAAACCCCTTTCCATTTCTTGGACTTTTCACCATGCCGTTTCCTCGCCTTCCTTCTCAACGTGGGAATTGAGTTAACAGCAAACCAATGTCAGAGTGTGTGTGTGCCCCTTGTAGTCACAGGGATTCTTTTGAATTGTTCTTCGTTCATAAGCAGGGGGACCATCCATGTGCTGTGAGCGATGGTCCGACGAAGCCGCCACAGCACATGCGGATATCTGGCCTGATCAGCCAGACGTACCTGCTTGTACCCTTAGGAAATGGTATCCTAGGCCGGCGTGTGGCACCGCTGTCCGTCAGTACGCATATCCAAGTGTGTCATTTTGATGGCCAGGAGGTAGCTGTGATGACGTGTGTGGAAAAGATCTTTGCTATACCTCGAAGCAAGAACAGCTGACTGGCAAGCTTTGGCTTTGCTTCGCAATATTTTTTTGTCTCTTTCGTGCAATGTGTCAGACCCTGGTTGGGTGCATTTTTTAGGAAAAACAACGCATTAACACGTATCCTTTCTGTCCATTTGGTTCCTTTTTTCCGCCAGCACCGTTCCAAGATACGCAGATCCGAGATTTGACCCAGAAACTCGGCTTTGACTGCCAGGGCTCGATCACTCCTAGCAGCGATGATGGTGCTCCAGGGGTTTTTGCCTCCTTCCGCCGGTGCTACAGGTACAGCGGACAAGCTGGTAAAACGAGGTGTGGCGCAAAATTCTTTTTGCTGCTTGGATTTGCAGCGTTGTTTCACACCGCTTTCTCTTTGTTTCGCCACCCCGGTCGCCGACTCGCTTGGACCAGCGGTTCCCCTCGCGTCTGGCCGCGTGGCGGTGTGGGCGGGAGCTGAGGACGAGGCGGTCTTGCTATTGCAAAGATCCGAGCGGAGGCGGCTCGGGGGATCCCCACATCCAATCGTTGCGCGGTGCTCACTATAGCCTCTTGAAGGAAGGCACCTTCCTTGCATGGAGCTTTTCCAAAGCGCCAGTCGAGTGGCAGCTCTATGCCCACTACGCAGGCTCGAGGGCATTGGGCAGAAGGGGTTGCAGAAGTGGCCTCCTCTCATAGTGTTTGGGGAACTGCTGGGCTCTCGTACCACATGAGCAACCGCCAAAACGTGCAATGACCAGTTTAATCAAGAGCGGTTGTGAATTCTAGGAAATTGGCTAAAACCTGCAAAAGCGACAGGGCCTCCTGAAAAGCGATAACCATGCAGCCGCAGTTTCTGGATATGTTCAGCTTAGTCGAAAAGCGCTAGGCCCCCCCGTCAAAAGCGATGACCTAGTTGAATGTTACAAGGCATTTTGGCAGACACTCACATCATTAACTTTGACAAAGATGGTCCTTAAGGCCTTAGTGCAAGGAGCGGGTGCCTCAACCGCTCCTTGCCGCTCAACCGCAGAGGTTCAACATTCACCACCCAAGGGCTCTTGCTCTTGGACAAGAGTCTTGGACGTCGCATGGAAATGACCGCGGAGGATTGTCAATGGCGCAGCCATCACGGGGAGAAGTGGCATGCTGTCTCTGGTGGACTGGAGCTCCCTTGGAAGGTGCAAACAACTAACCTGACAACTCCCGACCTCGTGGTGATGGGCTCCGAAATCAGTTTCAGCATGGAAGGTCCCCAAGGTCAGCGCAAGGTGGCCCGTCTCCTGTCCCACTGCACCCCTCATGATCATTTGGACTTCAAGCTCACCATGTACAAGAAGGAAGACATTGACTACGTGGATGGTGAACTTGGAGTTGACCCGCAAGTCTGGAACAAGTCCTCCCTCTTCTACTCCAAAAGCAGCCAAATGCAGATGCGAAACGATCTCGAGTTTGAGGCTGGGTGTCTACATGTGTCTACCATGTTTCGTGTTCACGAAGCTTGGACGCAGGCTCCGTCTAGTTTTCTCACCCTGTTTCAGGCGTCCGAAACTTGGGCCAACTTGGGTGGCAGTGAGGCTGCAGCGGAATATTTGAAGAAGAAACAGCAGGAGCAGGCCGGGGCTTCTTTGGTGCTACGTAAAGACTGCGCCACTGAATCTGAGATTCGGGCAGCCACCAAGATCTGCGCCAAGTACTTGAAGAAAAGCCTCAACGAGGACGTCTTTGCCGACTGCGTCTTCGACGTTTGCCATGGCGGAGGCGAGGCGGAGGCGGAACGTGCCGCTTTGCTTATTTCAGGTTAGGCCGCCGCTGGTTCTTGGTGTCGCGCAGCTTGAAGAACGTTGTTTGGAGTGTTGGAGAGCCAATATCAATTAGTCAACTTGGTGATTAAATTCAGGCAGCTTTGCTTGTCTCAAAGCTAGCTAGACGCATTGTTTGTTGTGCCAAGCTGCTGAGCTTTTGAACTTGGCTGGGTATCCCACTGTGGCATCCAGCAAGGATGCTAGGGGTAGATGCACGGCTTTCTTTCTGCAAAAGCCTTGGCGTTTTGATTTCGCCGGGGCAGTCAGAGAGAACCTGTGGCGTCCAGCAAACTCAGCTGACTGAGCCTCTTTTCCTCATAGTACTTGCAGACGCAACCTTCTTTGAGTGGATTTTGCCTGCAGATAAGCTGTGACACATATTTCGTCCAGCGCAGCCGCGGGCTTCTTTTTCCGAGATGGACTGCGAGGCAGCTGCTTGCTGCGCTCAAACGAGAAAAGGACTCGTTGTGTTTGATGGCCAGCTCAACAGCACACAATTGCTGCAGCTAGGTGTGACTAAGACAACTAGTCGCACTACGTGATCCTTTTCCGAAGCTTATTATACAGGAGGGGTAAATGAGAAAGAACTTGCAAAAAGCTATATGTAATCTCGATTTCCCAACCAACTTGTCCCACTGCAAGTCGCCTGACCCCAGTATACAGGTAAACATTTGGATGGCACACCTTGGAACTTGCTTCCAGGATCGGGTGGCAGCTCGAGGACAGGCTCTGTTCTTCCCGAATGCGTAGCGAAGGGTTCTCGTTTAAGTCTGGGGGTCTGGGGGTAGAGTCTTGTTCGCGACCCGTTGCTTCTATGTTCGCAACCGTCCGCAACCGTTCGCAACCGTTCGCAACCGTCCGCAGTAGGTCGCTGAGGCGCTGCCATTGGGGGAAGCTTTTGCAAGTGACTATGCATGGATGTGTCACGTGTCAGTTTGCGCCGCTATTCCCTTGTGATTTGCATGAAAATGGGATGGCGCAAGACACGTGATGCGTTTCGCTGCACAGGCGCAGCGTTTTGTGAGATCCGCAGTTTGCTACACAGTTCCATTGGGATTAGCGTGTGGAGAGTCGCGTTTTTGGGGTGTTGGATGTGGCCGTGCCATTGGGATTTGCGTTTCAGGATGTGGCATCGAGGCTCTGTTTTCGTGACAAGTCTCAGCTGAAATGCCGATTTTGGACTCTGGGAGTGTGCTCAGAACGGGTCGAAATCATTCCAAACGTGTGGTGTGGTGCAAATTTTGTTGAAGCTCACATGAGATGATATTGTCACTTTTCGTGGCAGGCGCAGTACTTTGTGCGGCTTTTGAGGTGTGGAAGTGCGATTCTCGTGGCAGGCGCAGGGAATCGTGAGGTTGCGAGGTGTGACGGAGGTGACATTTCGTGGCAGGCGCAGTACTTTGTGCGCGTTAGACGTGTGGACGCGGAAAGATTCCTGGCAGGCGCAGGGAATCGGGAGGTTGTGAGTTGTGGTAGAGGTGAATGTCGCTGTCACATTGGGATTGGCGTGTGAGCCGGTGTCGCTTGGAGGGGCTGGAATCGCGAAACTGCTTGGCAGGGCTGCGTGATGTGTGTGCTCCGATGGGTGTTTCCGCTGGACTTTTGGAGGAAGTCTCGTGCGAAACGATCGTTTTGCAGACTTTGACATGTGAGTTTTTGAGGAAGTCTCGTACGAAACGCTCGTTTTGGGGACTTGCAAGAGTGTCCCGCAAGAGTGTCCCGCAGTGTCCCGCAAGAGTGTCTCACAAGAGTGTC